CTTAGCTTTAGGCAACAATAACTCTTAAAATAAGAATATGCATACTAAGCTATTAAGCTAGCTCTAATGACTAAGATAGTAAGCTAACTATCATTTTCATCAAGCAAGGTGTTGGTTCAACTAACAAATCCTTAGCTTGGCAAATTAAGGATATATCTTTATTTCTATTAGTGATTTAATGTATATTGAAACAATGAGTATTTAACTACTCTAATGCTTAGTCTATTCTAAGGCTACAAAAATTATAGTGAGCACATAATAATACAATGAAGCTACTGTAAAAATGTTAGGATCAAAGTTATCACCAATTTACTACAAAAATTCCTACAATAATAACCTAACAATATTAAACAGTTTCAAATGATTTAATAGCTCTCCGCATCAACTCAAATATGTATGAACCAACTACACTAACAAATAGACAATAATTTGTGGAACCTAACAAAATTAGTTTCATGATTTTTGGACACCTATATGTTTTTTATTAATTAAACAAAACTAGCTCACAATTAAAAATAAAAAGCTATTTCTAATTCTTTACGAAAAAGAGGAAACGAACTGGCCCAGCGCGACCCAACACGGGCGTGGCCCACGGCGGGGGAGCCTGCACGCGCTGACATTTTTACAAAAGAGACCTCATACTTGCTCCAAACTACATCGCTGTCTTTTCACTATTTCTTTCTCTCTCTGACCTTTGCACTTAACCCCCTGGGTTTTTCTTAATTCTTCTATGCACGCCCCTGAGGTAGGGCGAGCGGTGGTGTGGCGAGCACTAGCACTTGCCGGCCACGCCGGCCATCTAGGGTTCACGCGGACCTACCTAAAGGATTGACCGCCATCTATGACCTAAGTGCCTACACTAAGCGGCGGTGAGGGGTAGCGGGACACACTGGAGCGGGTGGCAGCGGTGCGCATCCGTCCACGGCGGCGGTGCAGTCGTTCTGGTGCACTAGGGTAGCTATAGGCCTAACCAACTAGTGAGTGAGCATCAACAGCACTAGGGCAACTACAGGCCTAACCAACTACCAGAGCCGGGCTGGCCACATGCGCGTGCGGTGAGCTCGACGACGAGCCGCGGCGACAAGGCCGCGTCAGCGATGCTGGGACAGTGGTAGAGGTACAGCTGACGAGCGTAGGATGAAGAGGGAGTCAAGGTGAGGCTAGTGGTGTAGCTGGTTGAGCACGAACAGCTACTGGGAAGGGTTGCCACCACGTCGGTCGAATATGGACCTTAACGGCTCGGCGTCAGGGAAACTCCAAAATTGGAGCTCGGCCGAGCACGATTTAAGGCGGGGTGGGGTCGGTTAGCAAGATGACTTAATGGCAGAGCCAGGGACGTGATGAATCGGGTGATGATGACTCAACCATGCCGAATTTGATGGCACGGCTCGGCGGCAATGGCAGCAAAGAAGAGAGGGGGGCAGGCCTGGCTCGACTCATCCTCGCCTTGGCGGGACGCGGCTGGCTGCTAGCGAAATGGCACACGTGCGTGTGCTACAGGCTAATGTGGTCAGAGGGAACGTGCGCGTGTCCCTAGCCAAGACCAAGCCAAGTGCGGCATAGCACCATAATGGAGAGAAGATGACGCAGGGCAGCAAGGGCTAACCCACGTGCGTGGTAGCGAGATGTAGTGGTAGCAGCCACAGCACGGCAGTGCGAAGTAGGGAGGGCAGCAGTGTGCAGGGCAGCAACTGTAGCGGGTAGGGCAGCGGTGGAATACGGGGCACCGTGGCTCGTGGCTGGCTGGCAACGCAACGCCGCGATCGATCGAGCGCCGCCAAGCCGTAGCAGCCGCCAGGTCGGCCTCGGCCGACCGCGTCTTGGCAACAAAGACGGCATGCACGAAACACGCACAAGCATGATGATGCGAGCAGCCCACGTGGTGACCGCCCACGCCAGCGCCGGTCAGTTAGTGAAGGTGTGCATGCAAAATTTTTAAAGCGTCCATAAAAACTAAACTATCGGAGTTGAAGCTAAACCACCTTCACTATGCTAATGAGGGCATATCAGGCTACCCATAAAGGCTAGAACATGGTACCAAGTCTTAGCTAGATTGCTCAAAATTAATTCATGAACTTGGTGTTATCAAACTTGTATTTAATCTTAGTAATTTCTGAAGTTTGGCTGAATTTAAATTCCAAGTTTCATTTCCAAGCTATTGAAAATACTATCTAGCAATATTATTTTTCTACGGCAAGAGTTGCATTGTCATCTATAAAGTTTGTGCTTCAAACTTTATTAAGGTGTCACACACATGTTCTATAATGTTTTTGCTCAATAAAAATTGGTTTTCAACCCTACTTGATACAACATGAGCTTTGAATCAATTTTCATTTAACCTTTTTTATTGGTCATTTTAGGCTACAAAAAATTTATCCACACACTCTATCACATGCATTATCACATAAACATGATGCTCATGACATGATTTGGTAGTTTGTTTAGGACGTAACACCGAGGGTGTTACAACAGTTGTGCCTTCCTCCCGAGCTCCTCATCTCTAGGTCGAGGTCGAGCGACCTCTCACCGCCGGACGACCCAGCCAAGACGATGAACCCGGCAGACGACCGTGCCGGGGACAGCTCCCGGAGCCTGCTGGTCGGCCTGCTCCTTGACTTGGCGCGCGGCAGGCGGTCGAAGCCCGGCCATGACGCCATGTCCACAGCGTCGCTACCCCCGGCGTGTACGGGGCCCTGCAGTTGTCCGCCATGCGTGATAGCCCGAAGTACAGGAGGCCGCTAGCGAGCATCGCGGCCACGCCCTCCAGGAGCCGCCGCATCCCGCGGCGTGCCTTGGCCTCCGGGAACGGCCGCCGCTCGGCGCGGTGGTCCTGCTGCCACAAGGCCTCCGCCAGGCTCTGCCCTGGGCCTGTCTGCGCTCCTGCCAGCCGCGGCTCGCTAGATCCGGGGTGGAGGTCGATGGATCCGGCTCTAGGGTACTCGGATCCGGCGCTTGAAGGTCGCCGCCGACCATCCTTGGTGCCGAGAAATTCAGATTTTGAATGGTGAAGAGGAGGGGAGAAGAGGAAGGGAGAGGTGTAGGCTGCTACGGTGTGGCCTTTTTGAGCGCCACAGCGGGCCGCCGCCACCGCTAGCTGGAGAGCGGCGGCGGTGGCTGGGGAGGTGGCGCGGTGGGGAGCTGTCTGGCGGCGGCAGCGGAATCGCCCCCAAGTCACCCAGTCCCGAGGAGAATAATAAAGTAAACACTGGACCTGGGTGATCCTGGGAAAGGTTTCTCTTCTGGTGGATTTCACAATAAGAAACAGTTACACAAGCAATTGGATCGAAAACCACATTTTAAATTTCGTCTCAATTAGTGAAGGAGACAACTCAATTAAATAATTAAGTAGAACATCTAGTTTAGTGAAAAGAAAAGATGAAAGCAACTGGAACACAGATTACTTGGCATTTCAACATATATGATTTATCATTTACCAAAACATGTTTCAAGGATTTAAAACACAAAATACATTCATTAGCTCACAAACAAGTTAGAAAGTATAAAATTTTGACAGCCCTAGGAACTCATCCAAGAACATTAGAATAGATATTAGTCCTGATGAATGGCTTGGTTCTTCTGTTTTCCTCTTAACTGCTCCCTCGGTCCCAAAAAGAATGCAACTCTAGGTTTGAAACTAGTCAAACTTTTTTTAAGTCTGACCTATCTTATAGGAAAATATCAATATTTATGTCTAAAATAGATTTACTATAAAAATATATATCATAATCAATTTAATGATATTTATTTGATATACTTTTTTTTGTAAAGAGATGGTCAATTGAAGTTTGACTCTTCAAATAGAGAGAATTATATTCATTTTGAGATGGAAGAGTAAATATATGGCTGAAAGGAGCTATGCTTATGACAAGTCGACCAAATCACTTCCAGCTGTCACTGTCATTGTCCTTGAGCTTCCGCCAGAAGAACTAGAACGTACACCAATGTTGCCAGTACCCCTAGCATCCAAGCCAAGATACCATCAGATAGCAATATAAAAGGAAAAACAAGCGGAACTTGTATAACCAGTGCCACCACAGGACCATACACCTAGCCAAGGAATCCCCATGATGATTGCAATATTATTACCGTAACACTGAAGAAAAAATATTTAACCATCTAAGGGTCTGTTTGGAACGCAGGAATACAAAACAGAAAAACGGAGGAAAACGCAGGAATGAGATAGATGTGTTATGATAAAACAGAGGAATAGAAAAACACAGGAAATGAATATGATGAGGCGTTTGGAACGAAGGAAATTGGTGTAGGAATATTTTAAACATTGAAACTGACTGAAAGCTATTAGTACTCGGTTATAAATCCACCCAGCAGACGATAACCGCGCGGCTGCATCGGGCTTCCGCGAAGGAACGAAAAACCAGAGGCAGGAGCAGATGTTTTCTTTCCCGTGAAATCATATTGTTGCTACAATATTCCAGAGGAAAGGATTTGCTCCTTTCCTTTGTTCCAAACGCTATGACCATCTTCCTTTCCCCCGTTTTGATTTCCTTCACTTTTCCTATGAAAAACCGTGTTCCAAACAGGGCCTAAGCCAAAAGTGGCCCAACACACATACATTGTATTCAAACTATTCATACAAGATGCTAGTCGACACCGGTGAATTGGATTCAAGTGAAATTGTCTGAAGTCATCGCTGTAAAACTCAGCACATTCCATCAGAAACAACGGGATGGGGAAGGAGGAGAAGCAACAGTTGAGACCTCTTGTCAGCAGCCAGTGCGAGAACCGCCATGGGCCATGGCTTCCCGCTGGCCCCGACAAGGGGATGACGCATCGGAGTCGGAAAGCAGAGTCCTGGGCCGGGAAGGAAAGAACCGGATTTCTCAGCGTATGGGATTGCGGGAAAAACCGGAACATATAAAGTGACATCGGCCCCTGCCCTAGAACAGTAGCAACTGAGCCCCCGAGACTTGGCGATCAGTTCGAGATTGGTTTGGGGGGAGACCGGTTAGGGTTCGAGAGAGGAACGGGTGAGAGCGGCCATGGCGGAGGCAGAGGCAGCGAAGCCAACGGCTGGTGCTGGGGCCTTCAGGATCGAGACTGTGCCGGATGCTCACGTCGAGAGGCTGAAGAAGAGTCCGTTCAAGAGGCCCCTTCCTCGTCGCAAAAGCTTTCTCGAGCGCAACCCCGAGCTCCGAGAGGTTATCCTGAGAACGGATGCTGAGAGCAATTCGCTCATCGACTTGCAGGAGGATATCCTGAGGCAGTTCGAGGAGAAGGGTTGCGCCCAGGTTGGGGTGGAGATCATGGACTGTGGATGAACATGGATGGTTCGTCTTCCCCAGGCCTTCTAGGCCGAGGGCGCATATACCATCCGGGTCGGATCTAATAATTTTTTTTCTTGTTATTATATAGGGGAAAATATGCATGCATCATATTCTTATAAAAATTACTATGTTCCGTGGCTTCTTACATACAATTCTATTATAATATCAAAAGTAATAAATATAATGTCGCCTGTTATGAGTGACGGAAACCGGAAGTTGCCAGTCCAACATGTCTTGCAAAGGTTGTTCTCCCAAAGCATATTTTTTTCTTGAATTTTTTTCCATCTATACATGAAATATCTGGGACCTCAAAAAAAACTTGTGATTTTTCAAAGAGATTGAAAATTTTGAAAAACAAGGACGAACTATTTCATTATTTAGTATTAAGAATCTAGAAAAAATCATTTAATTCATGTTTCTGAAAGTACTATTTTCTCCTATATTTCTTATACAAGTCAAATATAAAGTTTCTTAATGAAGTGTAGGCTTAAAATTAGACTTCATTTTTAATTAAACTTAAAAGTATTTAAAACATGTTTAAAATTTTCATAGTGACTAAAGATCATATCATAAACACGTGTCATAAAACATGTCGAGTCATCTTTTCAGAGATCGGTAGGTCCTTCTCTGATGGAAAAAAAAAATCAAAAAGCAAAGTGAAAATTGATATGAGGACTTCCGGTTTTTGTTGGGCCTAGCGAAAGCATGACTGACCGAGGAAAAAAAAGGTTGCTGCCTTCCAGCAGCTTGCTCGCTCGATCGTATTTGGCTTATAAGCCATGATTTATCAGCCAATAAATAGTATTTTTCTCTCACATCAAACCAGCTAACAATACTTTTAGCCATAGCTTATAAGCCAAACCAGCCCAAACAAAAGGGACGCTGGTCTGCTTCGGCCATATGATTAGGAAAGAGAAGATGAATCCCTCAAAAAAAAGAAACCATAGAGAAGAAGAAAAATGAAGCTTTTCCCCTTAGTTTTTGAAACTTGATTAATAAAGTTATAAAAGTTTGGATCTAACCGACACAATATTAGCCTCACAATCAAACAAATCCCAATGCACCGCATCAAACTTGTTTCTTCTAGTCCTTACATTTGGTTTTTAATTTCATAAAAAGTGTTATTTTGCCTATGTACATTATTGGAAATTAAATAAAATAAACAATTTAATTACTAATTAGAAATTTTATTTTTAGGATGTTACGCTCCCCCACTTTGGAGGGCCAACGGTGCATTTCATGTTCTCTAAAATTCAAAAAGCCTTGAGAGCTCTCCCCTCCTAGGTTATGGGAATTATGTTTGAGTGATATCCTCTGGATGGGGTCAAAGATTTGACTTGTGTGAAGTTGTGAGAGCACCGGTGATCAATCATAAGTCTTGAGCACTTTTTGTGGCTGCGTTAAGTAACTCATGAAGCATTTGTTTCCCTTGAAAGTGAAGCTTTCTACATAATTACTCCCTCCATCACAAAATAAGTGACGTTTTTGACTTTTTGATATCGTGTTTGACCATTCGTCTTATTCAACTTTTTTATGCAAATTATAAAATAAATAAATCATTATTAAAATATCTCTAATGATAAAACAAGTCATAACAAAATAGATAATATTATACAATTTTTTTGAATAAGACGAATGGTCAAACATGATATCGAAAAGTTAAAAACATCACTTATTTTGGAACGGAGGGAGTATGCATCACCGACGAGCACCTAAGCTTATGAACCGCCACATAGTTTGCAAGGGCTGCTATCTTGCCCTGGCAAGAGGAAAGATCATCTAATGGATTCGAGAAAAGTGGTTGAAATAGACTCAGCTAGAGCTTGACCTTTGGCGGTCCCTTAAGACTTTCTCAACGGGGATGTAGGGTGTGGTGAGTCTGAACTACAGAAAACAACTCTGCATGTCTCCGATTTGATTGCCTCACTAATGCATTTTTATCATGTAATTGAACTTCCACTTCGATCTATTTTATTGTGCTTGTTTGTGAGTGCAGGAGCTTAGTGAATTTGCCAAGGGACACTTTAAAGAAGCATTACACCAGTTTGGTTCGTGATACAAGTGATCGAGGGTCGTTCTAACTTTTTCTTTGCAAGTTTACTATAGAAAAATGGATCACATAGATTTCTACATACTTCGCATACGCGTGACTCGCTCGATGGATTGTCGTCCCATGTTGCCGCTGAGGCGCTGACCACCTTGCGGCACTTCCTGTACTCATATGTAGCATCGATCGATAGGCAATGACGTTGTGGCTAGGGACTCTAGGCAAGGCAGTAGCCCAAAATAGTCCAAACCACACACATTGTCGATATAGCAATGAATAGTGTTGTGACAAGAACAAGCTGATCGACGAGGGTGGATCGAAGTGGCGACGACCCAATGCAAAACCAGATAATCCGACATCTTCTTCTGAACTCGTACCTCATTTCTATTGCATGCTTGATTTTTTTTTTTTTTTTTCCATTTCCCCTTGCATAAAAAATTGTTCAACCTCAAATTTAGCATAAACGAGCATGTTTGTGGTCGTGTTTAGATACGATTAAAATCCTATTGTAGCCGGATGACCACGAGAATCCCTCTAAACATATTGTTGTGTGTGTGATTTTTTTCACCGCCACTTCGTTACAGAGGTGAGAAATGAACTAACAATCGGCGGTGTCGTATCACAAAGAAATCAACAATTCCTTGTGCCATGCCACGTGGTCCGATAAAGTTGAGCCTAACAGGCCCTATATCATCATCGTCTACCTATCCATATGCTTTTGTTGTTTTCGTGTATTTTTAATGGGAGCATATTACAGGATCAGTTATGCTCTCTCCATTGGGATAGCCAGCCTTTTCTTTCTCTACATGTCCGAATTCTCTCCTAGAATATGATCAGATCATAAAAAGTTATTGTTCTTCGGTTCTTCTGTTTTAATTACCCGCAACGTGCGGATGTCAAAACAAGGCTGCGAGCATGCTTAGTCAAGCAAAGCGGGTTTTCTGGATAGCGGACTAAAAACGGGTTTTAAAGATTCTGGTTTCCACAAAAGTTAAGATCCAAACGACCTTTTAAGAGCAACTTCAAAATACTCTCTATGTCCTTTCTAATGTATGGAAATAGAGATTTTGGTGAAAAAAACTCTCCGACAACCTCTTTAATTGGATCTTCAAATATCGACGTCATCTATTATGGATTTTTCATTAGGCAAAGATAGAGAGCAAGAATAGCTCTCTAGAGCGCGTACAAAGAGCCCTTTAAAATCAGTTTTAAGGATTCTGCTTTTCACAAAACATAAGCTCCAAACAACCCTTTAAGAGCAACTATGAGATACTCTATATAATATCCTTTCTAATTTATTGGAATAGAGATTTTGGTGAATATTATCCTTCAACGGCCTCTTTAATTGAATCTCCAAATATAAATGTTCTCTGTTACGGATTTTTCACTAGCCAAAAATAGAGAGCAAGAATGATTCTCTAGAGCATACATAAAACATAAAAAGTTGTTGAAGGGTAAAAAATAAAATAATTTTTACTTAACAACTCTCCAAATAACATTAATAATTTTATAAAGTCTCTTGGAAATACTCTAAGCATCCATCATAAATACCTTGATTTAACCTCTCTCCCACCTATCTTCTCTCCTATTTTTAGTGCCTGTTAACATAGTTTTCTACCTACACCCATCTTTTATGTCCCGTCACGAGGTTGGGCAAACAGTTACGCTCACCCGGCCACCCTTATCCACAGTTCCCGGTGTGTCGCTATCATCCACGTAACATTTTCACATTTGCACGCATACGCAATGATGAAAGCAACAGAGCACCTAGAACACATCACAAACGTAACGCCAGGTTATATTAACAAATCAGCACGCACGCCTACCGTAAAAGAAAATTTCGAAAATAGATATCTCCTTTATTTACGGTGCCTTGATTCCACTGTCAACCTTGCTTTGTTTAACAAGCTATGGGTAATCAAAACTGCAAGCAGGTACCCCCTACGTGAATAAAAACTGGCATATTTCGCCCGGATTTGACGAAACTTTGAGATTATCGAGCCGTACGTCTCCATCACGTTGCGTAGTCGAGCAAAGCAGCTAGCGTTAGTAAAGTAGCGGCAGCAGCAGCAACTAGGCCGTACGTTTCTCATCAAATTTTGTAGTATTAAATGTAGATAAAATAATAACAATTACATAATTTAATTGCGTTACGTAAATCTTTTAAGCGGCAGCAAATCAGCAAAAAATACTACAATATCAAATAGCGATTCCTAACCTCAATCTAAACGGGCCCCGGTGAATCCCAGGGCTGTTACTTGTACGCCGGCTGCCGGCCTGCCCTGACGGACTCACGGTGGCCTTCAGGGTCATTTGCTAGTGTCTTAACCGTGAGGAATTTTCAAGCTCACTCCGTGACGGCACCGAAATCCTCTGCCCGTCGTTCAATTTTTCCAAATTCCTATTCATATGGACTGAAAACAAAGCTCTCTTCTGCGCTGGTTTGTACCCGAGAGATGTCGATGGGACCTGATATCTCCGCAGGAAATTCCCTTTTTCTTAAGGGATGGGGACGGGGGACTTTCTACTACTAACATATAAATGGGAAAAAAATCATCAACCAGTTCACTGGTTGAACTAGAAAACGGAGAATCAATAACCTCACTGGCTCGATTTAGGTTAAGGCCTCGTTCAGTTATCCATGAACGATTCCCTGGGACGATTTTCAGCTGGAATGGTTTATTAATTTATAGATCTTTGATCAGCCGAAATGATTTCAAAGCACATTTCAGCATAGTCGAACGAGGCCTAAATGTGATTGAGCTTATGCAACTTTCAATAGAAGCTCATGACAAACAATAACCTCCCTGGTTTGATCTCAGACTTTTGTTCTACAAACATGGGGAGCCCCGTTATTGTTGAGAATAATAATCTTTGATAACTATAGTTGAGAATAGAGAAATGTACGGAGTAGAGTATGGTCGATTATACTGGTTTTATTTCTTTC